CTTTTATGAATTACTGTCTCCTTTTTAGTACTGTAAAGATGGCTGGATTTGTTTTATTATTTGGCTTCCAGCTTGTAGTTTATTCACTCAGGCAGTTGCATTGGCCTGTAAATTAAAACAAACAAACAAAAAAACAATTAAAAAAAAACAAAAAACAAAGAGTTTGGGTTTACATTACTCTCACCTCAGTCAGGTAGATATTGTCTATTGTGCTGCAGCTGTTTGTGGCAGTCTTTTTTTCTCCTGAAAAGTGTCAGAAGTAATGTAGTGTAATGAGGCAGAGAAGCAAGTGCCTTTGACCCAGTCCTCAAAGTCACGTCGGGGGCACTCAGTAGCTTGCATATTTTCCTATTTCAAAGATACAGATAGGAAAAGCTTTCTACCATAGCAGGTGCTTACTTTCACTGCGTTAGCAGAAGAATAATTAACATGAGTTTTTGAAGAGTTAATATGTAAGAAGGAAAATTTTGGAACATTTGTTTTATAAATGAGGCAAAATAATGATGTATTCTTGCTTTGTTTTTTTTTTTTTTTCTTGAATGAAAAGCTAGAAAATAATTTTTTTTAAAAATTACAGTGTTTGGAGTTAATCAGAGAAATAACAGAGGGGCTGACACTTTTCTTGTTGCTTACAAATTGTAAATTGCAGTTATTTGCAATCATGCTTATAGCTGGCGTGGGTTCATGTGCGTAATCAGCTGCTTTTTGAATGCATGTTCCATTGTTCTGTTTTATTTATGGATTCATTTGTGATGAGAAAGACATTATAAAGTTGTTTGGATGAAGCCTTGGAAATGTGTTTTAGGAGTTTTGAATGTCAGCAAGTGCCTGGAGTTTGGGATCCAGGGCTGTGCACAGCAATGGAAATTTAGAGGGAACAGTTGAAGAGTTTCCATCTTCAGGTTCTCCTTCCTGACTTTATGCATGAGCTAGCAAAAGTCAGGACTGATACAGGCACGTTCCTACTGCCTAGTTGAAACACAGCCAGACCCAAAAGCCTTAAGGTCAGGAGTTTTCCCATTGATGTTAACATCTGGACCTGTTTGCAGTCTGATCTGCTCCCATTCCTGTTAGAACAGGGGAGTGAATTTCTGCCTCCAGCCTCCTTGGTGCTACCCGTCAGCACTAACCTTCCAATTGAAGTGAGTTTGCTTATGCAATTATTTTTTCTGAATGGATACAGTTATGTGCCAAGACCACTACAAGGGGTAGTGGGTTGCTCAGGAGAGACTGCCTGTCTTACCTGCTGATTCCCATTTCACTTGCTAAGTCCATCTGGGCTCTTTGAGTTTTTGTTTTCTAAAATTTTTGTTCTAGTCCATCCATTACTTTGTATCTTACTCTTGAACTGCTTGCTTTTCTGGAAAGGCATGGGTTGTATGTTAATATACAGCCATGTAGGACTGCAGTCTGTCTTTCACTGAAATATCTATAATACAAATAACTAATTTCTCTGCCTTCCCAGTGACAGATTTTTTCCCCATTATGCTTTTCAATGAAAGCAATATCTTGACTTAAAACAAGAGCCAGGAGATGAACTTTAGCATCATCCAGTTCTTCTTGCTGGATTTCTGAAGGAGATAGTGGAGCTTGTTGTGGGAACAGTAACAAAATCCAGCTGTGGGCTGGCTTCTCAGTCTTATTTGGGGAAGTACCTTGTACTCCCATCTATGCCCCATCCCTTCAGGTGCTTAAGGCCAGGTTGGATGGGACCATGGACAGCCTGATCTAGTGCCTGATTTAATGGTTGGTGACCCAGCCCGTGGCAAGGGGTTGGAACTAGATGAGCTTTGAGGTCCCTTCCAAACAAGCCATTCTATGATTCTACTATCTTGCTATGTAAGTGAACTTCTTTACTTTTCTTCTCCCTGCTGCTCTCCCCCAGCCATGGCAATTACTGTTTTAACTGAATTTAATTAAATCAGCCACAGTATTCCACAGCAGATAATACAGCTGCGGAAGTGATGCATATTGCAGGACAATGCCATGCCACAAGCAGCTGTAAGTGCTTTCTACACAGGGTTAAAATCCTGTATTGGCTCTCTAAAAAATCATCAAATTTTAAATAGGAAGGAAATAAACAGGTTGGTTAGGTACTAAGCAAGGAGCTTTTAATTAAAAGATGTTTAAACCGATTCTCTCAACTGTCAGAGAATTGAATTCCTGAATTATGTTTGCTACAGTTGTTTGGTTTTTTTTTTTAGTAAGACTGTATTTAAGTTTTTTCTGTGCACTGCTGTAGGGGATATAGATGGTAGCTCCTGACAGATTCACCCACAGCTGGCTGAGAACACCACTAGTGATGGATGAATGATGTCTTTGTTAATGCCCCCGTATACATAAATGATGGGCTTTATTTATTTATAAGATGTATCCAATTACACATCTTAGAGCAAATGTCCACCGTTCAGTAAAGCACACAATATTGGCATTAAAAAGGCAATCCCTGAAATCAGTGATCGATGCATTTTCCACGCTCTCAGGAGGAGAGATTGAAATAAGAGAGAAACATAAAATTCTGTTAATTCAGATCGGTTCTTTTGGGACCTGGCTCCTTGTTTGTAATAAGTAGTTGAAACTCAATCAAGAAAGCTGTTGTCCCTGCTCTTGCCATATGTGGAACTGCTGCTGGGAATGCAGAGCACTGAGGTCACTCTTCCTCTTGTCTGGATGGACCAGTCCCACCAGTACAGTGAGTCAGGTTCTCTTGTCAGATAGCAGTGGCTAAGGTTCATGAAGCTGGTACCCACTGGGATGTCTTTCAGTGAAGCAAACAATCCTAGTTAAGGAAAATTAATGATTTTGCCCTTCGTGTATAGGACATGCCTTCTTTTCCTTGCATGTGTATGTGCTTGTACTCAATAGTTGGTTCAATTTAGAACTTGAGATATCCAACCAACAGTTGAAACTTCACAGCACAATCTGCATCAGTTTCTTTTGTCAAGTAGGTTCACTGTACACTGAAATAGTTCTTTAGTGTTTAGCTACAAAAGAATTAGTCTGGATGAAGATAATGGTGTCAAACACTTTTAGATTTAACTCTTAATTCCCCTCTTGTTAGGTTACCTTCTTCACCTAAAGGCAGGGTAAATAGAACCTCATAGATGCACTGTGATGTCACCCCTGCTTTTCTTATGGTAATGCATTTATACTGAAATGTTCCAAGTTACAGTGATGGCATAGTTATATAATAAAAGCAAAACCTGAGTCTTCCAACCTATTGATGAGCAGAAGACTCCTGTCCAGCCCTTGATTCCTGCCTGCCTTTGCCCCTTCTGCCTTGTGCACCATTCTGTCCTGGTGGTGACAGCCCAGCAGCTTATTGAGCCCCTCTCGAGAGGCAGGGGGTAGTAAGCATGGCTTGTTCCTTGCTTGCAATTCCTGTGAAGTGTAGCAAACATACTTGTTTCTAATTCCGTCCTGCTGGCTGTTTTTGAAATGTGTTTTCATGCTGGATATGATACTTCTGCAAGAATTTATATTCGCAGCAAGGTTTAGCAGGACAGAATTGCAACTACTAGGCAAATCATTTAGAGTTCAGCTTGGTTTCTAGGAACAGAGGCTTGCTAGTTATTTTTCACTGGTTTCTGTGCTATTACATTGTTGTGATAATCTTGGCAGGGATCTGTCATTCTGCGTTGGTATAATTGAAACTTGTTTTCCCCGAGGAATCACTCTGCTGTTTGTTTTATTTGTTTACTGACATTGACAGAGATCCTAATGGCTTTTAAAACCCAATTTGTGCATCGCTGAATATCCTCCAAAGAGGAAAATAAAATTAAATTTATCAGCAAGATAGGGTCCTCTGTGCAGTAGCTGTGCTGTAGCTGGGTCTTAGACTCCACCTGAGCACCTCACTTTGGGACAAGAAATGTCATGAGGAGCCTTTTGTGAGATGCATCTTCTCTGTTTCTGATTCTGTCTTCAGGGATTTTGCCATTAAGGACAAATGACAACAAGTTGTTTAGGGCTTCGGTATAAATTGACTGAGTTTGCTTTGTGTGAAGTAAGATATTTTTTTTAGCTTTTGTTAAAAATGAGGTTAAACGAACAAAATAATATCACAGTAAAATTCCCTTTTCAGGAGGATGTACAGAATGGTATTACTGTGATAGATCATATTACTGTGCTGCTATTATTATGATAGATTGGGGTAATTAAGTGTGTAGATTTATTTTTAAAATATAAGATATTGAAGTATTTATGCATTCATTTAATTTTAAATCTTTAAAGAATTTCAGTGAGATACTTGAACTACTGAAGCTTGTAATACCTTGCTGAGTTGTGGTTGTGGTTAGATGTATGGCTTGTTGGATGTCATGCTCCAGAGGAGCATGTACACAAATAAATAATGAAGCACTGGACAGAAAGTCAGGAACACGATGAGGAAGGTTAGATTTCTTATAAAGTCTAAAGAATGTGTAGGATAATTTTTTTTTCCCCACTACCCCCAGATCTATGATTTTTAATTGGATAGAGATTTATGTAATTTTTTATTTTGCTGAATTGATTTAGACCATCTCTAATTACCTTCTGACACACTTCCTTGTCATTCAAGCATATAGGGATGCTCAGGTTTCAGTGAACTCTGATTGTGAACGTCGTGAGGAGATAAGTTTGGAAAATATTGCTGGTTTTAAAGGTTACCTGTCAGTTTTTATATATACAGCTGTGAGCCAAACCAATCTGACCTCAAACCAGAGCTGCTGTATAATAACACTCTGCCTTTTTATTGAATATCTCTTTTGCAAATCTCCCAGACTTGATAGCACTATAATAATAATAGATGTGCAAAACCTATACTGCCTCTTTTAAGGAAGTGTTCTAATGAGTCTTGGTGGTTAGTATTATCTTCTTTTTTTACGTGTGGTATATTAGAGATACAGGGAGAGAGCCCAGACCATCTGACTTCCCCTCCTCATTCTCATTGCTTGGTTCAGTAGTGCAAATCTGGACAATATGTGCTTTCAGTCTGATCTGTGTGTTCTTTTGCATTGCAGTGCCCAAAACAAGGATTTTGGCTACAGGTGGAGCATCCCATAATAAAAAAATATTACAGGTAAGTAGAAAATTAAAGGAGATGATTATATCTACATTTTTATTTTGGCATACAGAATCCAAATCTCTGTAGCTGTATGGGAAGGTGTGGGTATAGAATTGTGAAACTGCTTCAGGTCATTGGGATTTTTCCTCAGGTTTATTGTGGAGACCAATGCTAACTTTGTATTGAACTTTAAATTTATTTTATACGTGTGTGTATATATATATATGTATGTATATGTATATATGTATATTTACACTTCACTAGTTTTATGGATGTGTATCTGAAACACTGGTGACTTCCAGCTCTCGTTGCTTATGTCAAATCAATTAGCAAAGAAACCAAGAAGAGACTTGATAAGACACCTGAGATGTTTATAGTTTTTGTCATTAAAGTCAGCACTGGACTTTAGACTGAAACTGGAGAGAGACTACCCTAGTGCTGGACACTCAAACAAACAAATAAATCCACTGAAGAAGAACCATTATTCTAAACCCTGTCCCTGTTGTTTTTGAACATCTATTTCTCATTGGCATTGTGTCACATATTAGTAGAGCTTCTTTTCTTCTGTATAGTCTCTCCTTCCTCTTTCCATCTTCCTCATCTGCTGCTGTTGCTGCACAGCTAACACTGGTTAAGATCATTTGTCCCAAGAATACCTTGAGTTTACTCCACTGAGTGCATCAACAAGCTTCTCTTTGACTAGAGGCTCAGTGAGCCTGGGGATGGACATCTGCACCACAAAGCTCAGGAGTTAGTCAGCACAGGGTGAACTGTGTTCTCTGGATGCCAATCCATTTTCATTAGTAATAGAAACTCGTGAGGCCAGCCTCAGCTACACACCATATTCTTTGGTGATCACGGTTGTATAAAGTGAATGTGATCTGTTCTGCAAAACATGAGTTGGAATAAATGGAGATTGAAAAGCAAAGACCTCACTTTCTCCTAAGTCATCTAAAATGTGTGTTTGTAGAACCATAGGATGTAGAGCTCATTGGGACACAAAGGACAGATTTGGAGTGTTTTGCCTGTTAGATGTCACTTCATCTGCTTTGGTTCTTTTGCTCAAGAAGCTGATGTTGGAAAATTAACTGGTATGTTAATGGCTTAAAATACTGGTCCCCACTGAAATACTTCTACTGTTTCTTAATGTACTAAACGTACTAAGAGTATGTTATATTTGTGATCAAACTGGATGTCATGCTCCAGAGGAGCATGTACACAAATAAATAATGAAGCACTGGACAGAAAGTCAGGAACACGATCAGGAAGGTTAGATTTCTTATAAAGACATGTATGTTATGTTTGTGATTTTGTGGTATTTCTGGGAGAAAACGTCATATATTTAAGAGAAAACTGGTATTTTGTCTCCTAAGAGTATATTAAGAAAGAGATTGAATTAATAGTTATTTTCTTTTAAAGCAGTGTTTAGATACTAGGAGGGTCTCCTTGCTGTGGAATGAAGGCTGAGAACGGAATGCTTTTGTAACTTCTAATTTTCAAATAGCTGAAAATTTGTGGCCATGAGAGTGATTCCTGTGGTGCTTGCTCTTCAAGTGTAGTAATAGAGCTGCTTTTAAAACTCATTAGAAGTGTCTTAAAATAATATGATCAATGCAGTTTCGTCCACTTAATTCAATCACTGGTTAATTGGATCCTCCTTTTTAATTTAATCAAAACCTCAGAAACCATATCAGTTGCATGAAGAATAGCGGCTTCCACACTTATCATGGTCAATTTTGGATAATTTGTTCCAGGGTTACAAAAGAGTATCATTTAATTAATCAACATTCAGTAACTCCTGTATTTTACATAGCAAAGAAAGCAACTTAGGAAAATGTGCTTAAAAAAAATAATTCAGCTATAGCAGAGCAGTTTTCTCCTGTTCTGGGAAGCTTTTTATAACATATGTGGGGCCTGATTAATGACCACATGAAACGTAGTGAAATATTTGTAACAGTAAAACCTTTAACAGTTTCTTTTAAAATTATTCATGACAAAGATCGTGGTTTCAAGTAATGTACTGAATATATGAACTTTTACTAATTTTAATTTCATAATCATGTGAGACAAAATGTAGTTGTTATTTGTACAATTGCAGTACTTATTAGCATTTCTGAATAGAGCTGCATTGTATAAGACTCTGGAGAGGTGCAACACAAAAGACCTCTGTTGTTCAAGGGTATTTAAAATTCAAGCATAACGCAAGGAATACCTATGTGAGATGAAGAGATGAACAAACAGATGGGGAATGTGGTGAAACCATACAGGACGGGGAGGATATTTGAACCTAGCACTCTGTGACCTTATTTCCAAAGGGCTTTTTAATGGATACAGTGGTTAATTTTCCATTTGTCCTCTAACAGCGAAGCTCATTGTTTGCTCAGTTCTTGCTTACTAGCAAAAGTTAGGCAATACTGACACTGCAGTATTAACAGAAGGGAGCATAAAAAGTGTGTAAGATGAGGTTTTTATTGGCTTCTAATTAGCAACTAAATGGCTTTTGTTTCAAATAACCAAAATTCGTGATTATCTAAGGTTTTTATTTGCAGATATCTCTCAAATTTTCAGAGAAAGAGACAAAATCCTTTAAAAATGTTGCATATCTTTTTTACTGTAGCATATGAATTGAATTCCTTAGTCATCTTCTGTGGAGCCATGGGGCCCGTGATGAACCCCGGGCCCCATCTTGAGGGATATCACACCACGTCTGCAGGACAACAGGGGGATCAGGCCTAGCCAGTATTTTGGGGTGTAGGAGCAAGGGCCTCATGAGGAGCAGCTGATGGAGCTGGGATTGTTTAGTCTGGAGAACAGGAGGCTGAGGGGTGACCTTATTGCACTCTACAACTGGCTGAAGAGAGGTTATGGTGGGGTGCGAGCTGGCCTCTTCTCCCATGTAACTAGCAATAGGACTAGAGGGAAGGGCCTCAATTTGTGCCAGGGGAGATTCAGGTTGGATGTTAGGAAATACTTCTCTGAGAGAGTGCTCAGGTACTGGACTGGGCTGTCCAGGGAGGTGGTAGAGTCATGAACCCTGTAGATGTTCAAGAAACATTTCGACGTTGTACTGGGAAGCATGGTTTAGTGGGAACTATTGGTGATAGGTAGATGATTGGACTGAGTGATCTTAGAGATCTTTTCCAACCTCAGTGATTCTGTGATTCTATTCTGTGATTCTATTCTATGATCAGCGGGGTTGTGAATCCCTGCATGGGGTTTTGCTGGTCACAAATCTGATTGGTTTGTGTTTGTGGACACAATTCTTATATACTGGTGTAAATCAGGTGATACGCTTTGGGTAAACTAATAGAATATATTGCAATTTAAATCTGAATTGCTGCTTGATTCTGTGTGGCCTGAGGGACACCTACAATCCTTGGGGAGATTAAACCAAAATATTTGTTTAATTTGGAAGGAATAAGTTGAGACTATTTTCAGTAAAGCGTTCTTGAATATTCTGTGTCCCTGTCCAAATTTGTCTTCATTTTCCCTGCACAGTATCTATTTTCTTAAAACTACATTGTTAGTAAGAGTGCATACACTCAGTAAATGCGAGATGCTGGTGTAGATTTCAGTGCAGTGGGTGGAATGGTGCATGGTGGAATAACTTAGTATCTGTTTGATATCAAAACAGATTCTTTTCCTGTATTATTTTCTTTGTACTGCCAAACCAAGCTGAGAACACACAGCCTTGCTTTGTCTTCATAGCTAAGGATTACTCAAACGCAGGAAAACTCCTGGTATGTGTAAAGCCTGTGAGATCAGGTCATGCTTCATTCTTCTGCTAACCCTAATGTAATGGGAGTGCTGGAAGCAAAGACAACTGGTTTAGCAGACTATAGCTTTTATGCTATCAAAGTTGAGAACTGGGGAGCCATAGCTGGTTCCTCTCTCCTTCCTTTCTGCTTGAGTCAGCCATACAAGTGATGGAAGAAAAAAGGCATCAGTCCAGGTTCCCAAATGGATATCCCTGATGCAGGCCTTTAGCATGGGCAGATGGTGTGGGCTCGTGAGAGAGAGAATGCTTGAAGTTAGAATCCTCTAGACTTTCAAGAAAGAGATCTGAGGAGAAGTGGGACTTAATCTGCTGGCTGTAGTTGAATCTCTAGGTCAGATTTACCAACACTCCATTGTGTCACAAGTTCAGGAGACTCAGTGTTGCCTCTGGTACTTTTTTCCATGGATACCCAAATGCTCTGCTGGAGTGTATATTATCTGTCTGTTTTCCTGTGCAGTAATAGGGATTGCTTATCCTTTGTATTTCATGAACATGCATAACTGATGCTCTGATACTTCCCAGGTCCTGTCTGATGTGTTCAATGCTCCAGTGTACACTATTGATACCGCCAACTCTGCTTGTTTAGGAAGTGCTTACAGAGCGATTCATGGTAAGACTGTAAGGAGATACTTCTGAGGGGTCTAGATGTTTAATTTCAGTTGGTTAATACCTGGGATTAATGTTATTGAAAATGAAGGGGGAATAAAACTGGGTGAATCTGACTGGAAGGTCACTGAGGTCAAAGCAAGGGGGAAGTTGCTTTAATACACTCGGATCAAGCCCAAGAATAATATTTACATTATAATTCAAGTCTGATGGCTGCTTCTCAGCCAGGGGATAAGGCCTGGAAGCTGCTGAGATTGGCAGGTTAGAGTCTAGGAACTTTAAGCACTGTGTTGCCATCTGAATGGCTGAAGTGGTCTAACAAACTAAAGATCCATCCTAGCAAAGAGGATCCAAGACAACAGAGACGACAAGTCCAGGAATACTGCTGGCCAAGTAAACATTTCTAAACCTATATATATCTTCCAGCTTTTAAATGTCAAGACATACAGTATACAAGCGTACTGGGCTTCACACTCGAGTTGTGTGCACTTTGTCTTGTAAAAACATAAATCCTGGGATGCTTTTAGGTTACCCAGTCGTTCTGTTCATTGTACCATATCACTCAGTGTGACGCAACAGTCCAAGACCCAGATTTAAAGTGTTAATGAACTTGTATTTATTAAAGCATGCAGTGCTATGTTTAGGTTAGGCCCTCAGCCGTTTAAGAGTTCAATCTCAGACAGGACATTCTAATAAAGTATTTTTTAAAGTAAGTTTCTAATACATTATTGCTAAACAAGTTAAGGAATGGGGATCAAATTCTGAAGTCATTGTCTAGGCCAACTGTTCTTAACCTCTGTTTTTCTGATTAGAAGCTTTAGGATTTGGCCCTTACTCATAGAATCACTAAGATTGGAAAAGACCACTGAAATCATCTAGTCCAACCATCAGCCCATCACCACCACTGTGCCCAATAAACCAGAAATGGATAGCTCCTGTAAAGATTCATAAAAGATCCATGCTGTTGCACACGCATGGAAGAGAAAACATCAGTCATCAAGAAAAATCAGCCAAGTTGTAATTTTAGAAGCAAGTTCTGCTGTCACATTATAGCATCTGAAGACTACATGCTCTCTTGCATTTGAAAGAAGCACAGCCAAAAGTTTGAGTCAGTATGTTTAACACACACAACTTGCTCTCTCTGCTTTATTTCCAGACAAGTCACAGGGATTCTGTCAGGCAAAGCATGGCAGGGCAGTGTAAGCAGTACAGTAAGGTTATCAGTGTATTTGAAGCCATAATGGGACTATTTTTGCACCTTGGAGGCTAAATCTCCAAACTCTGTGCTCAAACTTTGCCTACTGCTTCAGCAGTTACCAAAGGCTTTCCAGTGCATAATGCTAGAAGCAAACTTGTTGTCCCTGAATACAAGTGAAAAATGTAGAGCCATCATTAAAGTTTTTCTCAGTGATTTCGTATGTATGGAAGATATAAAATTGCTCTGCCAGTTTGGCATGTGGAATCTTGAGGCTTGGTTGACAGAGCATTTGAGGGAGGATTTCAGATGCTGTGCTGTCACAGGGACTCCTTGACTCAGGTGCTCTGCCAGCCAAGCCCTGGGGGCATGCCTTGTGTGTTTCTAAATGGCATTTTTGATTGATGTGTTCAGATGACTCACTTTTGGCCAGGGAAAGGAATTTAGTATAAGCAAAGACTTCCTAATATAAATGAAATATTGATGGCAGTGGCTGTTTAATAGCATTAGAGTGTACGTCTGGGTACAGGTAGGGTTTTCCACAGTTCACCTAGGGTACTTACAGTTGTAACAAGAAACTCCTGAAAGGGTGTGATCCACTTGCAAAGCCACACACTGTGGTAGTAGGTCTCTGCTGTTAATTCTGCTTCCTTATATATCAATGTGTTTAATGATTTGTAGCATGCTTTCTTGACGCTCTTTTCACTTCCTTTTTAGTTTAGTCACATTTTGTCCTTGAATCTCTTGCTTCCACATATTTCCACTGCTGTTTACTATACTGTTGTAACCATAAATAATTACTGATATTGTTGAATAGCATTTCTGCTGCCTGCCTATTCTCCAGGGTATGTATTGAGTGATTGGCAAAAACTCAATCACAGCATCCCCACTTCCTAGGCTAGTGCACTGGAATGTAAGATTTTTTGCCGTTTATCCTTCAATCCTGAATGCTGACCTGACTGGGGAAGATCAATATAAGGTATTAATTTGCCAGGGAGTCGAGGCACATCCTTCATCTTGCTTTTTGCATTGATCAGGATTGTGATTCTCGTTGCAGGACTTGTAGCTGAGACAAATGTGCCCTTGGCTGATGTTGTGAAATTAGCACCAGAGCCCAGATTGGCTGTTACACCAACTGCTGGGGCTGAGGAGGTGAGCAAGCTTGGGAATGTCATTTTTCTTTTCATTTGCTTCAAAATGTGGTAGTAAACTAATTTTTTTAGTGAAATGGATTAATCTAAGTCATATTTTGTTGCACAATTCTTAATTCTTATTGTGAAAGTTGATTTAATTTGGGGAGATGGCAGGTGTAATGGTGTAGTAATCTGCATGATCACCCTCTCTGTATCTGAGAGAATGATTTTTTTTTCCCTTAAGTGGGTGTGATTGGAGAGCAAAAGCGACTTCCTAAACAGGTTGAATTTGGATACACATCAGGTTGTAACTGATAGTAATTGACAAAACAGTCTTTACTTGCTTGCAGGCTGCAGTATTGAGAAAGACATGGTGATGCTTTCCAGATCTTAAACAGTGGGCAGCAATTCTGTGTCTTTTCTTGTAGCTCTCAGTTGGAACAGCTGAAAGCATGCCAGCTTGGAGAATTCAGTACTCACAGGTCTTTGGTATTTTGCTCATCCTGGGAATTTCAGCTAATCTGAAGGTGAAACTTGTGCTTTTTTGGCCCACATACATTAAGCAAGTGGTTATTGTTGTTAATGGCACCATTTCTGTCTGTATTCCTGCTCACAAAGGACTTGTTTTGGGTTTTACAGTGCTACCTCATACCTCTCACTACCAAATATTAGATGCCTTAATTTACAACAGCTTTTGCAATGTAATGCCAGCTAATAAATTTAAAAATGCAATATTGCAAGATTCCTGGAGAATGTGAGTTTAAAGAAGCAGAGGTGTGTCTACCTCCATCTTCAGCTGTGAATCAGGACAGCCTTACACACTCTATTTGTGATGTTTGGTTATGCCCTTACTACAGGCAACAAGGTTTTAAAGCTTTTATTTAAACTGGGAAATTAATGATCTGCCAAAACTACTAACTCCCAGCTACATATGTACTGGAGCACCAGATATCATCATGAGTAATAATAGAAATGATCATGCTGCATTGTGCCTGCCAGCATATTATTTAATTATTAACTGAGATGGAGGAGCTCAGTAATCGAATAGAAGTCCCCTTCAGAAATATTAAGACATTGAATAATTTAAACTTGATTGATCTGATCTCATTTACTCAACTTTCCCCCCTCATTCTGAAAGATAAGATAATTAACAGCAATGGCCTGCGTCGCATCTGTTGCAGCTGGAGGCTCCTGTGGGGGTTTCAGGAGCAGCTCTCTGGCGTTTGATCCAGCCTCACATTGCTGCCTCATACCCCCCAAAATGCTCACTGCTGGAGAGCTGACAGGCTGCTTTGGTGGAGGTGCAGAGTGCTTTGAGACCTGCTGGTGACCCTCAGTGCTGCTTCAGCTATAAAGCTCAAGGGCAGGGGATACAGCTGTCATTCACAGAGGACTTGCAAGAGCAGCAAGCACCTTGTGCCCCTGCAGGGGCCAGCAAGCCTAGCTGGAAAAAACAGTGGGGAATTCATTTGCCTCTTCCTATTTTACTGTCTGCATAAAACGGCCTGGAAGCGAAAAGAGTTAATTATCTCCCTCTCGATACTTTTCTTCTCCTTTTCCACTTGGTTAGACCTGGTTCTCATAGCACATCTTTTTATTGGTTTTAAATGATGTACAGCAGAGAATTATTGCCCCAGTAGATAGAAGTGAATGATAGAGAAGGCAGCGGCTGAACAGCATGCGAAGGAATAACTGTTCCTGTGCTTCAGCTTAGCTTGCCAGCTTCATTCCATTAAGAGCTGCTGCTTGCAATTACGTATTCCACACAATTTTTTTTCTTCCTGTCTTATAATTTTACAGTTGATGGTGGATTCCCTGGCTAGTTTCATGGCTGTGAAACTGCAGAGAGCCAGAGGGGCCTGTCAGTAATGCAGTGTGTTAGCACGAACGGTGCAGTAAAAATTCATAATGTGATGAGTCAGTTTGATTCTGTTTCTTACAGAGCTGCAGCTCCCTGTCCGTCCAATTTCATTCTGTTGAGTTTAGAGGCTTTCACCTAAATGACGGTTCTTTTTATAAACTTCAAAGTCATCCTGAGGTTAGGTTCTGTCTCACTGAGGAGCTCTTCTGAAAGAATCTGGCTAACCAATATGAAATTGCCTGGACCACTTCCCTACATTTTCTGGACAGCTACAGTTAAATCTTGGCAGAGTGGAGAAAAAACAGGTCATAACACAGCAATCTGGTCTAGTTTTGTCCTTTCTTCTTGGTGTAGATTGGAGGCAAATGTGCTACATCCTTAGAAGGAGGAAAACCTCCTATAGACAGAGGTCAGATGCAACAGTTTGATGTAGCCTCCTCTTTGGTGCTGAGGCCTATGCATGCAGCAGAACTTTCCAGGAACACAACATGCAAGAAATGTTTCTTTGATTGCCAAATGATTATTTGTGATGAGTATGATTTCATAAAGGGAGGGCAGAGCACAAAAAACAATTCTTAAGGTTCAATTAAGCTGACAGCCAGGTAAAATGAAGTCACAGGATGGGAAATGTGGAGCTTTTGTGATGTGTGATGAGTTAGTAGTTAGTGGAAACTGAAGTCCTGTAAGTTGCAAGTTGTCTGGCAAAAATGTGATTTAATGTTATAGCAGACCATCCTGCCTGCAAATGACCATCCTAAAGAGAACAAATCCATTTCTGTGGCTGACGCTTCAGCTGAACATGATTTCACAGTATATTTGTAGGCTATGGAGGCTCCTGCACCCTGAGCTTATTTATAATTATTTAGACACTTACGTGGATCTGAAGGTCTTTTGGTGGTAACCACTGTGATAACCTTTGGTCATGACTCAAGCAGACTGGTTGAAGTTAGTCATCTGTGGGTTAAACTGATGAATTCCTTTTTTTTTTTTTTTTTTTCCATATTTTCAGAATAACAAAAGCTAAAGTCATCTAACCTCTCTGGAGTCTTTTCATCCCCCAAGGAAAAAGATTAATCAGAAACACTAAGCATGACAGAAATGACCAGGAGATTATAGAGCAGTAAATATATGCTAACAGACAGAAAGGAACCATTATTATGGCATTAGAATTCAGCTCTATCCTAGTAATCTGTTAAACGGAGATGGTTGGCTTGTTGTTTAATTAAGCAAAAAAGCAGGAGAGGGAACATGATTATGTGGGGTTGGTCACTTGTGTTTATACAAACCACGTTCCTATAACATAGTGTTAGATTTATTGTAAGGCTTTACATTATAGGGTTTTGTAGGGAGAAGGCATGGTACAATTCACTACCTCTGGATAGATAATCTTTGTGCTATTGAGGGCACTGAGGGACGTAGTTCAGTGGGCATGGGGGGGACGGGCTGATAGTTGGACTAGATGATCTTAGAGGTCTTTCCCAACCTTAACAGTTCTGTGGTTCTGTTGACCCTATTGAAAAGTATCAAGTCTGCAGACGTTCAAGAAGGAAAAATGTGGGCCTAACAGGTTTTCTTGACTTTGGTGATGTGCTTTGTAAGCATGTGGGTTTATAGAAGTGACCCTGTTACCCAGGAAAGTTATAACGACCTATGTATTGATTTAAAATAATGATATTTTTGTTGAATTAGATATTTGGGGGTGGGATGTTTTCTGAAATTGGTTTAGGTTGCTGATTTAGTGCAATGCAGATCATAATAATACAAGTATGGAAATATGATAATAGGTATTGATGAAAGTTTGATTAAAGTGACTTGGGTAACCAATAAGTTTCAGCCTATTAAACTGTTTCAGATGTGCTTACAGAATGAATATGTGAAAGAAATGAAGGGACAGTTGGGGTGTGGTTCCTTGCAATCATCTTCAGGGTATTTCTGGACACTGTCATGTTCTTTCAGCCCTAAACATATCCTTTTTGAGTTAAAAAAGGTGAACTACTGTGATGATTTTAAAATAAAATATCTGTGTCTCTCAATTTCTTAAGCATATCTCTGATACTGAAGTAATATGATTTTAGTTTAAAGGGAAAAAAAAAAGGAACCTGTCTAAAGTAGCAAGTGTTTGCAAGGGACTGATTAATTTTAATCTATGCAGAGTAGATTAAATGTACTTGGGTAGATTAAAATTAGATAATCATCAGCATCATCTTTGTAATTTGTAAATTTTGATTTGCTCCAATCATTGGCTAACACAGCATTGCAGGAGACAGAAGGATCTGTGGGATTGTCACTTGCAGTAATCATTTGTAGCTGGCTTTACTCGTAGAGAACAGAAGGGACAAAGTCCTGTTCTTGTAGTATGAAGAAGTGGTAACAGCCCTGTGGAGTTCATAGGCTAGTAGTATGGTGAGATAAAATATGAGGATGACACACTTGATTTAGATTAAAGAGCAACGTAACATTTATCTGCACAGTTTTTCCAGGCAAGGCGAGTCAAGTTATTCTCAGTTATAATGTAATCTGTGTCATTTCTTCTTTCTTATTTATTTGTGGGATTGTCGGAGTGTGTCCAAGTTGTCCCAGGAGTGAAGTTCAGCATTTGTAAATGAAGCCATCAGAATAGTGCTAATGCTGCAGAGTTGGCTGTAGACATAAGCGGGAGAAAAGGCCATAATATAGCAAGGACAATTAAATTATGGACAATAATAAGGTTCATGTTGTGATACATGTAATTACTCCTGCTAAATATCATGGTCTGATATATTAGGTTTGAGGCTATGACAGAGAGGGAATTTATGTTCTTGAGTTTTTATGCATCATTGAGAGTTCTTTATTCCCTTTGGACCTCAATTAGAAAAATAAATCTATATAATTGCCTCAGGAAAAAGGCTCCTGGAATGGCTTAGAAGGAGCTGCTGAGGTTCTGCAGGGGCGATTCAGCCGCAGCAGATGTGGAGAAATATCTTTCACAAACACAGCTGTGTGTGTGTTCAGGCCAGGTTCTCCATAAAGCACTTGGGTTTTCTGTGTGTGTTTCCTGGGAGCTGTGCTGCTTTGGCCCCAGCCTTCAGCTGGTGTAAAACTGCTGTGAAAAGCACTGCGTATGAAAGGAGTGAAGCACTGCTGTGCTTACCAGCCATGATGGTGTCACAGCCAAATTC